CTAGTGGATGAACTTACAATTAGACTCTATAGGCCATGAAAATGGGCAGGGCATTAAAAGAACATCCTGGGATAGAAAGACAACAGCACAACCAAATCAAACACCTCCATCTGAGGGAGGATTGAGGACACAAACATGAGGCAGCACAGGTCAGAAAGAGCTCAGATATAGGGCAGGGGACTTACCAGGGAAGAACTCTGTGAAGACCTCCTGCATCAGGGCCACAACAAGGCTCCGAAGCTGCCGCTCAGCCTCAGACAACTCTCTGAGTCCCACGAGCTTTACCATTTGTGCTGCCACATCTGGGGCCTCAGCCAGTGCTTTGACCAGCTGCTGACTGTCTGGGGCCACTCCTTTGGGAGACTTGGAGGCCCGGCTTTGGAATTCCTTCTGCTCCCTCGGTCGGACACGCAGGCGATGTCTTCCCAGACTGTGCTGGGACTGTGACAAGACAGCCTCCCGAGCACTTATATCTCCCATCTCCACAATGGCAAACACAGCCTGGCAAAACACACACGAACCAGGATGATTGTTTTACAACCAAAAATTCAAGCATATATTTAACAGTAGATGAGAACTTTTGAAATGGAAACTAGCCTGTACATTGGCAATATTTACTTGCTGTTTTTATAACAGGGAACATATTTTTTACACAAGTAATTTCCTTCTATCCCACACACTGTCTTTTCATTATAATCTGACAGTAAAAATCTCTTATCTGCTGTCCGCTATTCTTCACCAGAACTTGATTTCACAGATTAAAATAAGACCCTCCTTACTTACACCTCTAATCCCATGCTCAAGAAGTAGAGGTGGCCGGGCATGGTGGCACACGCCTTTAATCCCAGCATTCGAGAAACAGAGGCAGGCGGATCTCTGTGAGTTCGAGGCCAGCCTGGTCTACATAGCGAGTTCCAGGTCAGCTGGGGCTACAGGGAGACCCTGTCTCAAAAAGGCCCCCCAAAAAAACAAAAAGTAGAGGCATGGGGCCAGTAATATGGCTTGAAGCCACTTGCCACCTAGCCTCACAATGAATTTGATTCCTGGATCCCACATGGTGGAAGAAGAAAACTGAACTCCTGCAAATTGTTTTCTGACCTTCACACATATGCCACACATGTGCATACCCACACACATATAAATACAATATATAAATAAGATGTCATTTTTAAAATATTTTTAAGGGACTTAGAGAGATGACTCAAATGTTAAGAGCAAGTACTGCTCTTGTGCAGAACTCCAGCTTGAGCTGGGTGTGGTGGCGCATGCCTTTAATGCAGGATCTCTAGGAGATTGAGGCCAGCCTGGGCTATATAGTGGGTTCCAGGCCAGCTGAGGCTACAGGGACATCCTTTCTCAAAAAAAAAAGACTTGCCGGGCATGGTGGCATACGCCTTTAATCCCAGCACTCAGGAGGCAGAGGCAGGCAGATCTCTGTGAGTTCGAGGCCAGCCTGGTCTCCATGGTGAATCCAGGACAACTGGGGCTACAGGAAGACCCTGTCTCAAAAAGACCAAGAAAAAAAAAACACCAACCAGAACTCCAGTTTGGTTCCTAGCACCACATCAGGTAGCTCACAACATGGTCTCCCTAATAGCTCCAGCTGGCCTGGAATGCACTATGTAGACTAGACTGGTCTCAACCTCACAGAGATCCACCTGCTTCAGAGATCCTTAGTGCTGGGACCAAAGGTGTGCACCACCATGCCCAGCAGGATGGAATATTTTCTTTAAAGTTCTCTCACCCCTGGGGCTTGCCCTCTTCCCTCATGTAGCATACACCTACATTTTCTTTAAGGTAAAAAGCATTAGCAGGGGACAAACATGACTGCTTGTGGTAAAAGTACATATTCTTTTAGGTATCTCCAGTGGTAACACTGGAATCTAATAGTTTATACAAAGATGCACCCTAGGGGCTGGAAAGATGGCTCAGCGGTTAACAACACTGGCTCTTCTGGCAAGAAGACCCAGGTTCGAATCCCAGCACCCACATGGCAGCTAACAACTCTCCATAACTCCAGTTCCAGGGGATCCAACAGCCTCTTCTGTCCTCCGAGGGCATTGCACGACACAGGTGCACTTACCCTACATGCAGGTAATACACCCATACACATAAAAAATAAAAAAGGCCAAAACCAAAACAAAACCTCGTTTAAAAAAAAAAAAAAACAGCCAGGCATGGTGGCGCATGCATTTAATCCCAGCACTCGGGAGGCAGAGGCAGGCCAGCCTGGTCTCCCTAGCGAATCTAGCCAGCTGGGGCTACAGGGAGACCCTGTCTTAAAAAAAGAAAAGAAAAGAAAAAGAAAAAAAGACGCACTCTGTATAGTGCCAGCATAAAGACACATTCAGGTGAAGAGAAGGGAAATACAAATAAATCCACATATCTGGGCAACTGGCTTTCCACAGGTGATGAGACAGTGCGGAAAGAATGGGCTTATAGGCAAATGATTGTCCTAAGCAAAAGAAGCTTCGATCCCTCCTACATATCATAGACAAAAAATTAACTACAAGGATGCTTCACTAAGTATACAAGAATGAATTGCAAATAGGGAGTGACTATATGGAAGGGGTTGGAGATGCAGCTCAGTGACAGACTACTTTCCTAGCATTCAAAAGTCCTCAGGTTCAATCCCTAGAACTTAAAGGGGGGATTAGAGAGAATAGGGTTTCAGACTTGGTGGCAACACCTGAGGCTAAAACAGAAAGATAGATTGAAGTTAGCCTAGAGGACACAGTGTCTATATCTCAACAAGAAACAGAAAGCAGGCTGGGGATAGTAGCACATGCCTTTCATCCCAACACTGTGAGATCAAGGCCACTCTTGTCTATATAGTGAGTTCCAGGCTGGCTGGGAATATAGGGAGAACCTGTCTCAAACAACACACATACACACACACAAAACAGAAAGAAAAAAAAGTATAAACTTGTTTGTCTATTACTGTCTAGGTCTAGTAGTTTTGACCAAATAACCTCAGCATCCCTTTGCATAGTTAATAAACTTCTAACTAGTTTCTTGGGGGCTTGATCCTCCAAAGGAATGGTTGGTTTGTTTTTGTGGTGTTTGTAATAAGCAAGCATTCCACCAATGAGCTATATCCCCAGCCCCAAAGGTATGTTCCAAAGAACATACTTTAGCACTAACTTTCAGCAGGACATGGTGGCACATGCCTGTAATCCTAGCACTTGGAAGGCTGAGGTAGGAGAATTATGAATTTGGAACCAGCTTGAGTTAGGTGGTAAGACCCTACCTCAAAAAATATAAAACAAAACCCACCCAGTCTCACTATAATTGTCTATTTTCTTTTCAAGATTGTAAGTTCTATATCAGCAGGGACCACATCTATGCCATTCACAACTCAGAATGTGGCCCTAAGCATAATGCATAGCATAGTAGTAGCAGTTTGGCAGTGAATGAATATTTTGATTAAAATAAACCATGACTCTGCCAGGCTTGGTGGTACATGCCTTTAATCCCAGCACCTGAGGACAGAAGCAGGCAGGTATCTATGAGTTTAAGGTCAGTCTGGTCTACACGGTGAGATCCTGTCTCAAATTTAAAAAAAAAAAATTAATTCTGGAGATTAGATTAAATACAAGGAGGTAGAGGAGGTATAAGAAGCTCACAAAGCTGGGCTAGTCCAAGTACTGTGATGTCTATCAAGGACAAGCCATATTAGGAACCAGACAAAACAGGCTGCTGGTTTCTCTCTTTTCATATGCAGCATGCTTGTCTCACACTTCAACCCCAGAGCCATTCACTCTACCTTGTCCTTATCCATGACAACACTGGCCACAGGGCCAAATGTCTGGAAATACTCAGAGAGCTTAGCAGAATCCACATCCCTGGGAAAGCCACTGACAAACACACTTCGAAGTCCCTGGGCCTTTCTAGTAGCTCGGAGTTCTACCAGATGCCGGTGCTTCCGGCCTCCCAAGTGGGCATCTAGGCTGGGTCCTGCAGAGACAAGTGTGAGATGTAAACATACAAAGCATTCCTGTATACCTATCCCCTGGCTCTACTCTCTGTATACCTAAGTCCTTCTGTTCCTTTAAAGACACACAAAGTATGACATCTGAACAAAGTCAGGGCTCTTTCCACACTTGATATTCTCTTCCCTTGTCTCTGTAGCATATTCTCTAAGTGATTCCTAGGGGAACATGGCTACACACACTGCAGGTAGTTCTTAAACCATCAATGTGCATTAAGTAGAGCAACAACTGCACTTTGTAGAGGAATTAACAGTAACTTATCCAGGCCTCATGTAAAAGAACTAAATAAACCAGGGCCTGACTGATTCTCTGGGATTAACTGTAGGGATAGTTGATTCCAATTGTATCAGTTTCTCAGATACATGATGGAGATGATAATAGTGCCCACCACTATGATAGGTATTATTCATGTCAGGCTGGTACATGGTAAATGTGGGAAAAGTAACTATTAGTATTATTTTTATTATCAGTCAGCTGCTTGATGCCACCAAAGGATTTAAGTGGGCAAGGAAGATGCTTGGGTTCCTGGCTTGCCCTACTGCACAGGAGGATAGCGTCATTTACAGAGAAAAGAAGTCCCTGTTTGGAGAAGCCCACAATTTCGGACATCAAAAGTGGAATCTGAGGCTTCACTGAGCCCCCTACGCTGTCATAAAAGGACCTTGTCTCCCTTTCCAAGTCCATCTTCTGCCTGTTCCTACCGGCACCTTCTGTATAGGCCATACTGTTTCACCCATCCACACCCCTCAGGAGGCCCTCTCCATACGGATTCTCCAGTTGAATTACTGCCTTCTCTGTGATGCCTCAGCTCTCCAAACACATCCACGGTGCACTGAAACTGTCCCAGTCTAGGGTGAGCTCCTGCATCTCTGAACTCCTTTCCCCCACCCCAGTGGCCAGCCAAGTACCAAGCACAAAGCAGAGGACCAGGAGAGAATAAAATACTAAAACTTTCACCGTGGCTATTCTGCATAGTGGGAAGGATCGGTGGAAGGTGGTGAGACTTTCCCCATTCTCCAATGTCCTGGGACATGCTGGGCCAACAAGAACTGCTCTGTAACCCCAACTTTCGCTGGAACTGAGGACGAACGCCTGCTCCCCCCCTCCTCTCTAGCCGCCGCTCACGGTTGGCTGTAGTAACGTGGCAGAGGCGGCAGCGGAAACCTCCACGCGGCAGTGCTTCCACGTCGGAATCCACCGCTGCCATGGCGACTCTCCGGTACGGCCAGACGATAGCCACTTGGACGACCACCGGAACCCCTGCACCGAAACACAAGGAGCTGGGAAGCCGCTTCCGCCAGTGCTGCGGGAAGTGACGTTCCGTCCGCCAGAAGCGCGAGCATAGTCCTCCGGAAACCTAGTTTCTAGTACCGAGGGTTCCGTTTCTAAGCCTGTTTTAGGAAAAGCCGGCCATCGACTCCGTTTATTGGCCCATGGTAAACTAATTCGGTGTGCGCTTGCTGTATCTCGGCGTTGATTGGTCGGAAGGACAGTGAATATTCATGAAGCAGCCACAAAGGCCGGCCAGCTTCCTGACAGCAGGTCCCGCCCCTCGCCCAGTGGTCGCTGGCGGTCTGAGTCCCTTCCGGCAACTGCACCCAGCGAATAGTGGAGGACGATGGGCGGCTTCTAACCCTTTGTGTCATGGAGCCCGCGACTGACCCTGGAAGCCCGACTGTTCCCCTGTCTCCACCGCTGGATCCTTCTCCAAAACAGGTGTTCCCGCCCTCCCCACAGCCTTAGCTAGGAAGCTGTGCCCCCAAAGATCACTGGACTCCATGAGGTCAAAGCCAGATTTCTACTCTCCCAGTCATCCCACCTGTCCCTGTGCAATTGTAGACTGCCTAAAGTATGTTAGCGAGGCCCATTACAAGAAGCCCGGGACCCAACGCTAGAACAGCCACTTTCTTCTGACAGCACTAAGTACAAGCTCAAGAATGGGAGAGAAGGTAACTGGAGAAGCCTTAGGCACAGGGACCTTAATGAGATGGAAAGGCTATCAGGTGGACCCATAGTGTAATTATCAACAAAGAGTAGTGGACCCTAGGCATAACGCCAAATGTGTGACCTTGTGGGAGTCTCAACTGAGGCCCTTCTGAATGCTCAAGGAGCAGAATAGGTCCAACTTTTCAGTCCCCCCCCCCCCCCCCACTGGGCCCTGCTCAGGCATCTAATCTGTCTGCAAAACCAAAAAAAGAGAACAGCTCTACTGCATACCCTACAACTGTAGCAGTTGCTAAGGCTGGCTTTGCAGATCCTGAAGCAGCATTCTGCTCTGAGCTTGGGTAGTAAGATCCTGCATTACTACATCCACCCTCACTAAATGGGATACAACTTACCCTGACTGCTAGCATTTCCCAGAACTGAAGATGGAGTTCAGTGGTGAGTACTTGCCTAGCATGCACAAGGCAGTGATCAATTCCTCAGCACAGAAAGGTGGGCACAAAGTAAGTTAGGAAACCAGAAGGCATATGCTCATGCCATTATTTGGTCTTTTTCAGACAGCGGTAGCCCCAGCTATATCTTGCTATATAGACCAGGCTGGCCTTGATCTCAGAGATCCACCTACCTCTGCCTCCCAAGTGCTGGGATTAAAGGCATGCAACATTATTTTTAAGATTTTTTAAAATTCTGGAGTGTTTTGCCTATGATGTACCATGTGCATATAGTGCCAGAATTCAGAAGAGGGTGTCAGATCCCCTGGAACTGGAGTTAAGGCAGTTGTGAGCAGACTTATGGGTGTTGAACTAAACACAGGTCCTTTGGCAATGTAGGAAGTACTCTTAACTGCTGAGCCATCTCTTCAGCCCGGATTAGTTTTAAATGACTGTAGACCAAGATGCTGCTTGTATTCGGTACTCTGGCCCCACTGGGAGCAGCCTGAGTCTGACAAAGCTAGCTGGCACAGACTACCCCACAGCCCAGGCTGCATGTTCTCATAAAGCTGTTCCTAGGATAAGCACCATCTGCACCTCTTTTATTGTCCTTTGTCCTTTATTTTCCATCTCAAAGGCACCCCCACACACACACACACACAGCAGAGAACAGCTGAGCCTGGAGGAGCTGAAGAAAACAGCTTTTTATTCGTTACTGTAAGAACCAATTACAGAATCCATGATTAAAAAATGGACAAAAGATCTTTATTTCTGAGAATTGGCATACAAAAGGCAGAGGGGGGAGGGGAAGCAAGAAAAGAGTGAGCATGGGCTGGGTTGATGCCAGCTTGGGGCCTCAAACTCCAATTAGGACAGTCCGGACACCGGACAGTAAAAGAAACCCCCAATTAGAAAAAAAAAGAAAAAAAAAGACAAGGCAGTGCACGCCCCACCCCCTCCCCAGCCAGGTACCACCACCTGATATCTGTTTACTCTTCCCCTTCCCCATCCCTTTCACAAAGGGAGGCAAAATTTTTAAAAAATTAAAAAAACCCTCCCCCCCCCAAAAAAACTGTCCAAACCAGCCATGGTTCCTAGCCCCCAAACAGGCTAGGTATACACATGGGCCCAGGTCCTATAGGCTGCCCTCCATCACAAGCAGGGAGAAGCCTAGAAAGGGACCAAATCTCTGAGTCAGTAACACCAGAGGGTACCCAACCCCTCCAGGGACACACACTAGCTCCAGCCCTCCCTCACTCCTATTCCCTTTGATACCAAGGGGGAGGGAACAGAGGTTTGGGTACCCTAGGCACCTACCCTCTACCTCTCATCCCATCTCCTTTCCCCAAAGATGCTCAATCCTCCAGAACAATGGGTTCATTGGTGCTGGCAGGATGTGAGGGTGCAGGTAGAGGGACTGGGGGCCGCACTGCAATCAGTGTTGGCTTCACCTTCAGAGGCAAGTTGGGCCGGCGGGCAGCTCGTCGCATTTCCAGATGAGTTAGCGCCTTCCTTAAAGCCCTGGCCAGAAAAGAGAAATAGGAAAGACTTGAAGAATGCCCATTCTTTTTAGCACCTATCTCCCTTGGATGCGCCCTATTTCCAATACCCATCAGCCTGCATTGTCAGCCTCAGCCCCTCCCATGGTGGACTCCCTCTCTACCTGGTATCTTTTGTGGCCACAAATACCACAGGATTGGGGGCATCAGCTGGGTTTAACTTCTGCCGCTTGGCTGCTGGCTGTGAGCTTGTACGAATGCCTGAGGCCAGAGGCCTTCCATTGGCAGAGAAGGGAACCCCTGCCCCTGCCATCTGGAAAAAGATAGAGCAACATAAGGGAGCTACCCTCCTCAGACTCCTATCAGAAACAAAATCCCACCCAACTCAACTTGCCTAACCCACTGTCAACTCACAGTCTCATAGGCACGTTTCACCATAATGCCTCCCAAGCCTCGGTTCTGAGTCAGTTGGTTTCTGTTGATTGGTGTCTTGGTGCCCCGAGGTGTTTTTGGTTTCAGAGGTGCCTGGGCCACTGCCAAGGGGGTAAAAACATAAAAAGATACCTTCTCTTCCCTAAGTAGTTTCTTTTCCTTTCTTACCTCCATTTCTCCCCCTGGCCCAGTTTACCTGGGCATGCTCAAAAGTAGTAATGGAGGAAGAAGCCTAGCAGGCTATTTACCAGTATTTCAAAAATGATTTAGGTATTGGGTGTCTTCAGATACCATAATACTTTATGAAAAAACATTACTGTGCTGGAGAAGTAGCTCAATGGTAAAACACTTGCCCATAATACATGAGGTCCTGGGTTTTCATCTCCAGTGTCACAAAAGAAAAAGAAAAAAAATACAAATACTCCTAGTTTGTTAGATTAAATCTCTGGACTCAGTGGGAAAGAAAAACTACAGGGGAAGAAGACTCTTGCTAGTAAAAGGACTGGCAGCCTAACGCCACCCAAACTGGTTCCTCATCCTCTACCCACCCTGGATCTGGATGGTTCCCCAACCCGTACCCAGATCTTTGACGATAGTTGCCAAGGGCAGCCGCACCAAAGGGTGAATTTTCAGAGGCGTCTTGGCAGCCTTAGGAAGTCGAATAGAGCCTGGAGAGAGAAATGAAAGCTTCTGGATATTTAGGGTTTTGTAAATTTGGCTTTTTTTCTTCCTTGAAACGGGGTCTTACTGTATGTAGTCCTAGCTGGCCTGGAATTCGCTCATGTAGACCAGACTGGCCTAAACTCACAGAGATCTGCCTGCCTCTGCCCCTGCTGAGATTAAAGGCATGCCCCACCACACCCGGATCTTGGCTTGAGACAGCCTTGCTGTGTAGTCCTGGCTGGCCTAGAACTTGCTATGTATGATCCTCTTCTGCTTCCCTAGTGCTGAGCTTATAGGTGTACACCACCATTCTCAGCCTTGTTTTTTGAGACAGGGTCCTACTATATAGTCCAGGTTAACCTGAAGCTCATTACGTAGTCCAGGCTGGCTAGAACTTGTAGTTATCCTCTGTCAGCCTCTGAGTACTTGCATTACAGGCATGCACCACCACACCTAGCAGATGAAAGTTTCTGAAGGAACTTCATTATTCAGGCCTGTTCTAGGGCCAAGAGTTTTGTCTCATCTCCTTAAAAACCCTCTGTGGTCTACTGCCATTAACATCCATTTAAACACCGGTCTCTGGCCAGAGCAACCCTGAACTTATCACTAGCCCTACCACCACTGTCCTTACACTCTGCCTTGATGGCATTGGCATTGATAGGGGCATAGGGTCGTCGGGCAGCCCTCCTTGGTTGCAACAGGTCCCTGCACATCCGTCTAGCAAGACGGGTCAGCTTCGTGGTCTGGAGCAGAAAAGTTTGCCTGTTCTTAGCCAGCAGCTTGGCCCGGTTGGCGCTGGTTGTATACGGGGAGAGGCTTTGGGCTTCAGGTCTAGATAAATGGCCTCTTGAGTGTGGCTCCTGGAAGGACACACAAGAAAGGGAAATAGCAGATCAACACTGCAGCTCTTTCTTCCATTCCCTGCAAAGAGTGATTTGTTTCTGTCTGATCTATCTACTGATACCCTGTGTAACAAACCCACACTGTCTTCCCACCACTTAGCAGTGTCCTTGACCATTTGACCACGTTTATAAACACTGGGCATTCTAATCTTTGCCTAAAGCTCCCATCATCATCCCCACTGCTCTCCCCTGCCTATCCACTTAGTGATTCTTACTGTGGTGCCCCGAGCGGCCCCTTCAAGCTGGGTAGGGGTCTTCAGTCCCCCATACTTCTTCCAGTAGATCCAACAAGAAGCACAAAGTCGGCACTGCATGTTGGGTGGCCCCCAGGCATACCACTGGGCAGACTGTGTGGCTGCAGCATAAAAAGGGGAAAGTTGCTGGCAGAAAACATGCTACCTGAGCCTCTCAAATTCCTAGGCCAGAAGAGGCCTCCCAGACCCCCAGACTCCCTATCCCTGTCCCTCCTTAGAACTCACTGTGGCAGCTCTCACAAGTCAGGCCCTTCTGGAATCCAGCCCCATTCATGCCAGGTTTTGAACCCACAGAAATGATCTGGTTAGGGTTTGGCTTAGTGCTGAAGAGGGGGCAGAAGGAAAAAACAGACACTGGTTAAGAACAAAAAACAGACTGGTTAAGAAAAGAACTCAGCCTTGGTGGCGCACGCCTTTGATCCAAGCACTAAGGAGGCAGAGGCAGGCAGATCTCTGTGAGTTCAAAGCCAGCCTGGTCTACAAAAAAAAACAATAAATAAATAAATAATAAATGGAAAAAAAAACTGAAAAAAAAAAAAAAAACAAACTCACTTCCACTGGGCATAGGTGGTACACACCTTTAATCCCAGCATTTGGGAGGTAGAGGCAGTAGGATTTGTGAGTTCAAGGCCAGTCTAGTCTACATAGTGAGTTCCAGGCCAGCTGAGGCTACAGGGAGACCCTGTCTCAAAAAAAAGAAAAGACAAAAAAAAAAAGAACTCACTTCCATTCCACTGCTTACCACCCCTTTATTTCTCTCCCTTCCTCTGGAATGCTGGGAATTGAACTCAGAGCCTTGCATGTTTTATTAAAACCTGTGCCACTACTGAGCTACACCCTCTAGCCCCATCTCTACAACTTGACTCTGCCTCTTGCCCACCCCCCTTACTAAAGAAAGCACAAGTTGGAGAAAGGAAAGAAAACACCATTGTCCCCTCCCCGCTACTTACTAGGTGGGGATATAGACCTGTTTCAGCTTGCTGTCTGCTTCAGCAGCTTTCAGTCTTTTCTGCAGAAGGAAAAAATGGAGAAAAAGACAATCAGAGCATCTCAGCAGGGATGGCATCATCAAACCAAAGGCAGAGTTAAGCAGGAGGCCTCTGGTCCAGGTTCCCAGGCCCACATCATACCTGCTGAATATACCGGTCTGTGGTTTTCCACATGTAATAAAACTGGACTATGCTTGCAAGTGACTTCCAGGGTAGCTAAGGAGAGCAGAAGGAAGAAAAGATGAGCTGGCCCTGGCTAAGGTGGTACCTGGCTTGGTCTTCCCACCTCTCCTTCTAGCCCTATTCACTTACAAAATCCTGGCGGATGTCATTGAAATCCTTCCCGTACTTCTCCAAGGCCTCTTCAAATAGCATGGCCTCAGAAGCAGACCACTCCTCCATCTCATCCCGACACAGTACGGGGCCGCCCTGGGGCACCAGGGTTGACATGGCCTTAGCCAGGTCATAGCCATTCCTCTGCAATGTGTCCATGGCATGAAACTACCAAAAATGTGGGAAACAGGGCTCAGGACTTGCTGCTCTTTAAGCATTCCTACTTTCTCTGAGACACCTTCCCCTCTGCCCCCAGACCCTGCAGGTCCCCAAAAGCCCAGCCCACCCAACTACCCTTCAGCTTCTGCTCACCAGAGTAATATCTCGGGATGCAGCAGCTGCACTCATGTGCAGGCTTGGCTGCCGAATGGAGCTGCTGCAATCTAGGGCTCTTGCGAAGGTTCCCACGGCTCTAAGGCAGAGATTGAACAGTCAAAAAGGAAAGAGGAACGTTTGAGCAGGCTTGGGAACTAAGGGGAAAGAAGGAAAAACTCACATGCCTAAAATAAAAATACTACTAATAAAATTTACTTCTAAGAATGGGTGGAACTCAAAACTGGGTCCATACC